CAGGACCCATGGGCAGAAAGAGCTGCACTGGGGTTGTGAAGAGTTATATGCTATGGAGCTGGGGAGGTAAAGTCAAGACAGAAGTTTCTTCAAGAGATTTCCATATGCTAAACACTCACAGATTACTGGAGGCCTAACTATTGTCAAGCTAAGGTTGTTTTCGCCTCTAGCAAATCATTAACATTAACACGTTAAGAGTTCCTGGAGAAAACTCTGCCTGCTTCAAGTATTTGTCAAAGGGCTACAGGTTATAAGGAAATTCCATTTTATTTGCCATTTCCTTCTCGTCTTTGTTTCCCCACATCACCATGGAGGGCAGGGTGATGTTGGGGCTCCAGAAACGACAGTTTCTGGAGATTAGGCTATTGCTAAGATTACCTTTTTCTTGCAATTTACTAAGATATTTGTAAACTGCTGGAGACGCTCTCAGTTAACCGTTTGCTTTCTGTCCTTTCCTTTGTACTTGGGCAGCCAGGAGCGCCTGAGGAATGTCATACTTACCCCACCTGGGTGGGGGAGGAGGAAGATGTGTGTGACCTATGCTAGCTTGTGTTTGGCCCTCAGGTCTTATGATCCCTCATCACTTACCAGTTAGAGTACAATTATCTTCCTTGCACTTTCTCTAAAAGATCATGTAGCTTCTCCCCTCAAAACACTTATGCACGGTTTTCTTCCTCACATTGTTTTACTCTTTCTTAACCACTAAAATACAAGCCATAGTAAACGCGCTGCTCTCAGCTCCCTCACTTTGCTTGGTTACAACTTCTGCTGCCAGGAAGGTCTTGGAATCTCGATTACTTCCGATCATCGCGCGGAGTAACAAGGGAACTGTGCGCTACCCACATCATTTTAAGAGCCAAATAATTTTAGGCTTCGGTTGGAAAAGCAAAGAGCTGTGCTCCAGGCTTGGGCTCTAGGGTGAGCTATTTTAGGTGAGCGGCACATCTCCTCAACAACTTCATCAATGAATTTTTAATCAGAACAGCTTCGAAGAATGTGGTGCCTTACTTCACTTTCCAGGACAGCCACTGAAAAATACACACTTCGTTGGGTTTTGTTCTGCTTTGTTTTTGCGCGTTGGCTTGGGCCACTTCCCTCCGCCCGACCGCTGTCAAGCGGCGTCCGCCTCCAAAAATCACTTAACGTGGCGCCAGCCTCCTAACACAAGTTTGCTAAAAGTCTGTACCTCCTGGAGGTGATTTTAACCTCCTGGAGGAGTCCCCGAAGCCATGACTCCAGGAAGGGAATACCAACAAATACGTCTTAAAGGTCTTGAACCTACCCCGCTTTACCGAGTTCGGGATTTGCAGAACCACGCCCCACCTAAGACGAACCAAGGTCACGCCCTCCGCGGACACCGCCGCTGGGCCTTTAATAAAGCCGCGGCCGCCTTCCCGCCTCCCCCGGGGCGCGCACTTCCGGCCGCGGGGGCGTTCGGGAGCGCGCCCCGCGAGCCTCCACCAACCAGCGGCTCCGCCTGGCAGGCGCGAGTACGCGCGCGCACATTTGTGCGCAGGTTCGAATCTCCGCAGCTTCGCGGTTGCTCCCCAACGTCCGGCAGCACCGCGGCGGCCGCGAGGGCAGCTCGCGGGCTGCGCTGGGCCCGGCCGCCCCGCCCCCTCCGCACGCCCCACCTGCCCGCCGCCGACTCGCCCGGAGCAGGTCCTCGCCCCCCGTCGCGCGCTCCGCCCTCGCCCTTCGCCCCCGGAGCTCTCCGCGCTCGGCCTCCCGCGCCGGGCGGGCTCCGCCCGGGGCTCCGGGGCCCATGGCCAAGCGGCGTGCGGCCGAGCCGCTGACGTTCCACGTGCCTTGGAAGCGGCTCCTGCTCTGCGACTTCCCCGAGGAGCCGCCGCCGCCGCTCTGGATCCCGCCGCCGGGGGCCTCGCATCCCGGGCAGCCCGTCGGCGTCCCGGAGCCGCCCCGAAAGCGCAAAATCGACGCGGGGGCTATGACTGAGGCTTCAGCTTCGCCCAGCAAGCGCCGCGACGGCGGGGACACCAGCGTTCCGGGCGGCGTGGAGCGTGAGGGCCAAGGCCTGGAGACGGGCGAGCCGCAGTTGCTGCAGCCTCCCGTGCGGCCCCGCGGGCCGGGGGAGGAGCCCCGGGGCGCCCGGCCCCCGAGGGGCGGTGGCGACGACGGGGCGGGGCGCACGGAGCCCCCACGGGGAGACTGGGGGGCCGCACCGCGCCAGGTAGGGGCTGGGGACCGGCTGAGCGCTCCAGAGGGCGGGAGGGATGAGGAGAGAGGGGCTCACCCTTTACGCAGCCATGGCACGCCCCGGGAAGAAACAGATTGTTCCCCTCTTGACTCGTGTTCATCAAGAAGCCCCAAAAGGCGAAAAGCCGGGAACCCTAGGGCAGGAAGGACGTGGACTCCCAGACTACCCACCAAGGGCCTCAGAGCCCTTGGCCCCTTGGCAGCGTTTTGGGAGAGTCGTGTGGGCTTGCACCTTTAGTGCCTGTGGTGTGGAAGAGGGAAGCAGGAGCGTGGGTCACGACGGACTAGAGCCTGATGAAGACCTTGACCGTGAACCGCGATAGGTCAGCCCAACGACAAATGGAGAAAGGGTAGCGCGCCTTCCTTGGCTTAATGATGATTTCTTCTAGAATTCGTGGTAGATTTCTTTCTAAGGAGGGTGACCAATGTGGTCTTCATCAGTTGGATGGTCTGTAGGCATAGTACAGCGCTTGTGGTAGAGAGGAAGGGCCTCCCTGCCTTGGGAACAGGCATTTAAAAACTCAGTGTTAAATCGGATTTTTAAAAAAAGGATCGTTGTTGAAAATTAATTTGGGCCCTAAAGTAAAACGTATATGAGGATCATATATAAGAGTTCCTATTCTTTGGGAAACGAGCCTGCCCCATCTCTGAGCCTGAGATTTGATTTGTCTCGAAGTTCACCGTGTGAGACAGCTGAACCCTTGAAATGTGACTAATCCAAATTGATGTGTGCTGTTAAGTCTAAAAAAACACTCTAGATTTCGAAGATCTCAAAAATTTTTATATTGATTGCACATTGAAAAGACCTGAAGATACTGGATTGGATAAAATGTATTAAAATTTACCTGTTTCACTTTTTTAATACAGCCACTAGAAAAATTTAAATTGTGCTTGTGGCCTGCATTACATATTTATGAGACTGCTTTGGTTTATACTTAGGAATTCGGGCTGCATTTTGGCAGTTCTGGATTGACTTACCAGGAGCTTTGGGAATAGAAGTACCAAGTGTAGGGCTTAGAATTCACCAAACTCTTTCCAAGCACTACATCATAGTATTCACCTCACCTTTTTCCGTTGTGTTCAGTATCTCTTGCAGAATTAACCAAATGCCTTTGCTGGAAAAAAAAAAAAAAAAAGGTAAATTGAGGTTCCTTTGGCATGCCCTCTTGGTGGAAAAACCTAATAAAATAATGAGAATTTTATAGTTGGGAAAGAACTTTTTCTCTGGTTGTGAGAAATCATCCTTCAGATAATAATGGACATTTCTGGTTGAAATTCTAAATTGTAAATATTCCCATCCCCAGTTTTCTTGGAATTTAGAAAACATGAGGTTTAGGAGTTTTTTTTTTTTTTTTTTAGACTTTTTTCTTTAGATTGCTTTTGAATATTAAAAATCCGCTTACTTAAAACTGAATGATAGCACTTATGTTTTGAAAACAGAATAATTAGAGTTTCCAGTTGTATTGTGTGTGTTGACAATGGCAAAATCTAAGAAAACAAACCCAGGATAATTATCCAGATCTATTTTCAAAAACTTTTACTCTTTGGACCATTTTGGTACCCCACCCGTATATAGGGTTGTCTTCCCTACCAGAGTATACTCACTGAAGTATGCCACAGATTGATAAGAAGGAAATAGGGAAATTCTAGGTAGAGGAAAATTTTTGAGTAGGCTGACTCACCTTAGAATCTCTTAGACACAGCTGTATCTTCTACAGCGATGACTACATCTGACAGCTCTTTGCTTCCCAGTCACTACAGGCCCATGGCAAGGACTAAGCTTGGCCATGGGGTACCTTCTTCACCAAGACAATCCCTGTTCCCTTTTCTTTTGGCTAAAGCCTCGTGTTTCTTCCTTTTGTTAGTTCTGTTCCATGAGCTTCTTGTCTTCTGCAAATTTAAGAGAGGGACATGTTTTCTCCAGTTCCTCTCTTTCCTTCCTGCTTCTAAAGATGCAGGTTTTTTGTTGTTTTTTTTTTTTTTTTTTTTTTTTTTTTTTTTTGTCTTTTAAGGGATTTACAGCTAATTACCAAGATACACGGTATAACAGAAACATGGAAAAGTTAAAAAGGCTTTTCAATTCATGCAGTAAATGTCTCCCTGGTTCCTAGCACTCAGAGTAGAGCGGAAGTCCCTACCTTCACCCTTGGGATCTTATTTAGGAAAAGTTTTCTCAAATATGTCCTTTCTACATTGAAGATTTAATTTAGGCAGAATAAAGATACCTTTTTTCTGTCCTAGAACCTCAGTATTTTTTGAGTTGTCTCATGTTTTTTTGTTGTGTTGGCTTTTTTCCTAGGTGTTTTTTTTGTTTAGTTTTGTTTTTTTTAACCAGAGAAGTAAAAACCAGATATTACTTCATTAAATATTTGTGTTTTGTCATGATCATGTCACTTCGTGCAGATTCATTTGCTCTGTCTGCTGATCCTCACTGGTAGTTACTTTTAATGGAAAGTAAGCAGAAATGTTTTCTTCCTCTTCTTAGGAAGACAATAATGAATCATTCATAGGTTTCTTGGGATATAATATGTAGCCATGTTGAGCTATTACAGTACTAGCCCTTAATTTGAAAATGAGTCCTGCATCTCACCGATGAGGAAACAGACTTCGATCAAAGTCAGAGTTAGTGGATGGTGGAGTTATCTTGCAAACCCAGGTCTGTCTGGTGGCAAAGTTTGTGCTGTCCGCTAGTAGGTTACACTGATGTCCTTAAAAGATCTTTTTTGGGCCCATGTTTATAAGTAGGTAATTTGGACGGTAGATTTTTTTCAAAAAGGCAAAGATACAACCCTTGTTTTTTAACCCTGTTTGTGTATCAAAATGAATTGGGGCGGGGGGGCATCCTTTGAATTACTGCAATTTTTTTTTTTTTAATCCCAGTGTAAAGAAATTCCAGAGACACTCTTAATTCTCTAGGTTTTAGTGTCTAAGATTTCCTTTTAGGCCTGTGTGGTCCAGTAAAGTAACTAGCCACATGTGGCTATCAAGCATTGAAATGTGGCTAGTCTGAATAGTGCTGTAAGTATAAAATACTCACCAGATTGTGAAAACTTAGTATGACAAAAAGAACGTGAAATATCGCATTCATTTTTAAAAATACTGACTACACATTGAAATAATAATATTTTGGATATATAAGGTCAAATAAAATATTGTTAAGAGAATTTCACCTTTTTTACTTTTTAAAATTACTTATGTGGCTCTCATACTTCTGATGGTTAGTGCTGTTACAACAAGCATGAGCCTAAAGTAAAAACACAACCTGGTAGAATAGATATGTAAATATTCATCTGGGCACAGTGTTAACCTTCAAAATGTTCACCATGGAAGCCTGTATATAATTCCGGTGCTGCTTCCTTGCACAAAGTATTTTGGGGATGCTTTTCACATTTTGTGTCAATCTTGAACTTCATTGGAATGTCAGCTTCACTTCATAGTTACTTGAAACAATTTTATAGCCGTTCAATCTGTTGAATTTTAAAGGAGCCAGCACTCAACTTGGATTTATCAGCGTTGATTTATTGATTTAAAAGTCATGCCTTCGGGGCGTCTGGGTGGCTCATTCCATTGAACATCTGACTCTTGATTTTGGCTCAGGTCAGCATGCCAGGGTCTTGGGATCAAGCCCCGCATCAGGCTTTGGACTGAGTGTGGAGCCTCCTTAAGATGCTCTATCTCTTTGCCTCTCTCCCCCACTCTCTCTCTCTTTATAAAATAACATTAAAATTAAAAAGTCCTGCCTTGCACCAAATCTTGTATCTTTGATAAAATAATCAGTTTAAGATTTTCTTGTTATTTAGCATGTTTATAATCTAAAACTTCTTGGCAAGTTTTCAAAATATTTTAGCCTATGTAAAGTCAATCACTTAAAATACCAAGCCTCAGGGGAAAGATGAAAAAATAAATTTTAAGGTATATTTGTATTTTTAAAACAAGTTGTGTTCCTCACTGAAAGATAAAAATAAATTTATGAAAAAAAATTTTTTTAAATGATTTTAAAAAAAGAGAAAAAAAAAATTATGACATTTTCCAACATTTTCTTTGGTTGAAAACTGGAAGACAGTTATCAAGAAGATGCTCTTGGAAGACATTCTTTTAAAGTTAAACTACTAACAAAATATTTTCACAAATCCATGAGTATGAAAATGCACAGAGTTGACTGAGCCCATTGAAGTACTTTGATTAGGCAGAATTAAAAATGTACATTTGTTGAAGATGCGAAGTAAAAGACCCAAAATCTTCATGTGAGTTTGCTTTTAAAACAAAATTTGTTTCCTGGGGGGGAAAAAGTAACTTTTTCATACACCGATGCTGTCCCTTCATCTCTTTCTTTTTTCCCTAAAGCTCAATGAAGAATTCTGGCAGTATAACACCTTCCAGTACTGGAGGAATCCCCTGCCACCTATTGATCTGGCAGACCTCGAAGACATCAGCGAAGGCAGCCTGCGGGAAGCAAGGCTTCAGGGCAAGAACGAAGTGGTTGAGATCGACATGGAGTCCTGACATAAGCACCTGAACAATAGGTCTTTCGGCTTCGGCCTTTGAGGCGACCTCTCTTAAGTGAATTTGCATATTCTTAAGGAGAAAAGTTATTTTCCATACTTGATGCGATACCATTCCCAAACCTGAAAAATGAGGAAGAGTTGTTTTAAAGATAAATGCCTGTGGTCACTACTGAAACTCCCAAGAGGGATTTGTCAAGGATCTAGTGCAGTTAGAGGGGAAGTATTTTATATATGTACTCTCAAAGAAATATTTATGTTTAGATTCTGAATTTGAAAATATTGGTCTTCTAAAAAAGAATTCTGACAGTTTTAGAAACAGGTGGGAAATGCTCAAATGTTCCTCTTGTCTGTACCAAAAAGTTAATTTGTGGTACGTGAAATGAATATTGTTTTTTACCTGTTATTAATAAAATGCTTTCTAGTACATCGTATCGACTCTTCTTAGTTGAACAAATAACTGACTTAAACATCTATGCAAACTTAAAGTGCGGGGGACTCTTCAAGGTGGTATAGTTTTAAAAGAACTTTCTAAATGTAAAGCGTAACATAGAATTTCAATTTGGGGAGCATGTTTGCATAGCTTCCAGTATTTGATATTTGTTTAACTCTACTCTGGGGAATCAAAAATGGATAGAGAACAATGAGAAGTGAAGAGGTTCTTCCCTCCCCCTTTTCCCAGGTTAAGAGGAAAGAAATTTAGTGGTATTAATTTCTTGGCTTTGAGTTGCTTTGAGGGCACGGTTTTTATTGCTTATTGCTTCAGACTTACAGTTCTCAACACTGGCAACACTTCAGAAATCTTTGCCTGAGTAGCACTCAAGAGATTCCCGTTTAACTGTCTGAGATGGGCCTTGGGTATAGCTATTTTTTTAGGCACCGATCCTCCTCCTTTTCCCCAATCCTAATATGCCGACAGCTTTGAGAACCACTAAACTGATGGTAGTTTTTCCTGTTTAAAGGAGATAACATTTGACGTGAAACAGCACCTCTTAATTAGCTTTGTTTTTATTTCACTCTACTGATGGATTTGTTACAAGTAACTTACTGTGTTGTTATTACTATTTCATTGTTAAAAAAATAAAGTAAGCAGTTTGTGTTTGAGTTGAGTATCAATGATTAAGTTAATTAACTTTTGTACTACATCCAGAATGTTGGCTTTGTAATAGAGTAACCCATCCTTGTATATTTTTTTGTTGTTAATGACAGTAGATCCCAAATTGAGAAAGAATGATAAATGCCAATGAGAGAAAGAGAGAGAACGTTTTGTGTATACTGTAGGATTTAAGTATGAGTTGACATTAATAAGAATATCCTAGAACAAAAGACATGTATTGTGGTTAAAAGTTAAGCCTTTGGAGTCAGACCTGGTTCAAGGGCTTGTACTGCCACTTTCTACCTATGTAACGCTAAGCGAGTTATTTTTCATCGCCAAGCCCTAGGTTCCTTAACTGTAAAATGAGAAACAATAAATAGTATCTACCTCAAAAGAGGCTATGTGTATTGTCAAGCAATGGACTAAGTACTTCACTCATATCTTGTTTAATTCTCATAATAACCTTATTGTAGGTACAAAACAGTAGTGAGAATAAATGTGCTTTTTGTAGTTATGCTTCATTCTACTTTAAATTGCCACTAGAAGTTTCACAGTAAGAATTGGAATTGAGATAGTAAGCATGGCAAGCTAGTGCGGGAAGCAGTTAAATTACTGTGGAAAAAAGGAAAATGGTAAACTTTCTTCCCCTTCTGTTTGGCCTGAGCGTAAGGAAGGTGTCCATTTTTGTTCACTACTCTTCCTGGTGCCCAGAACAGTGCGTGTCACATAATAGATAGTCCATAGAAATTGCACAAGCGAATTAGTGATCTTACCTATTGACAGGAAGGTTAATGCCAGCAGTTTTCTAGAAACATATCTTACAAAGCTAGGCATTCTACCGAAGAAGTGCATACAAAAGATGTGTTGCAGAGATCAAATAGTAAAACGCTAGAAACATAAAAACTGAGACAAGTCCAGCTAATGAACTACAGGAGGTGGTCATTTACTTTTCATACAGGAGGTGGTCATTTACTTTAATGAGAAATTTCATAGGATATTACATTGCAGGTTTGTGAATGGGAGATTCAAAGTGTACCTCAGACGGGGTCCTGGCTGACTCCGTTGGTAGAGCTATGTGACTCTTGATCCCAGGGTTGTGGTTCAAGCCCTACCATAGGTGTAAAACTTACTTAGAAAATGAGTAGCTCAGACAACTTTTTTGAGCATTGTGTGTCAACATACAAAACTAATGTAAAGAGATTCAGGGAAAATATTTGCTGTCAATATGTTGAAGGCTGAACATTTAAAAAAAAATTTTTTTTTTTTTTAGTGTTTATTTTTGAGAGAGAGAGAGAAAGACAGAGTCCAAGCTGGGGAGGGGCAGAGAGAGAGGGAGACACAAAATCTGAAGCAGGCTCCAGGCTCTGAGCTGTCAGCCCAGAGCCCGACGTCGGGCCCAAACCCACAAACTGCGAGATCATGACCTGAGCCGAAGTCAGATGCCCAACCAACTGAGCCACCCAGGCGCCCCGAAGGCTGAACATTTTTATAAAGGTATATATATACTTCAAGCATTTCAACATGTTTGATATGTAAAATATGAATTTATATGTAAAGATGTATACATACATACCCATACATATATATTATATGAGAGAACAGATTTGAAATAACTACATCCTTTTAGAAAAAAATTTTTATTAACTCCAGATAATTTGGCAAAATTGTATGGTGGGTAAATTAAGATGAAAATTTAAAGGTAGATTTTTTTTTTCAGGTTATATACACTTCACCCAGATTGCCTAGTATAACATCTTACCACAGTACAATTATGAAAATGAGGAAATTAAAGTTAATATAATTCTATAATGCTATTATGAAGACGTGGAAAGAGCGACTTCCGACAGTTCTTAAAAGATAGAAATAAAAAATGTACAGAATTTATAGACTATTCACATTTTACCATCATCCCGCTAACCTTTTTCTGGCCCAGGATTCAATCCAGGGTCACATGTTCTATTTAGTGGTAGTATCTCCTCAGCATCCTTTAAAAAGATTCCTTGGAATTTCTTTGCCTTTCATGACCTTAGCACTTTGTGCAGAGTACTGAGCAGTTATTTCATAGGGTAGCCCGCAATTTTGGTTCGTCTGCTATGTCTCATAGGCAGCCATCTTTGGTAAGAACTCCAGAGAAATGATGTATCCTCAGCACATCACACTGAAAGGCACTGCCCTTCACCTTGTCTTGTCATTGGTGATTATAACTTTGGTTTCTTGGAAAAGGAGGTGTCTGCCAGGCTTCTGTGTTAAAAAGTTAATATCTTCTCCTATATAATAGTTATCTTCTGGGAAGCTACTTCTGAGACCATGTAAATATCCCATTTATCATCACATTCTGCCCGTAAATTATCGGATCTGTTGATGATTCTTTACATGAAAGATTTTTGGTCTGGTGTATGTCAAGTGGTAACTTTCTCTTTCCATTATCCCTTCTACATCTATCCATTGGAATTCTATAAAGCGAGAGCTTTCCTTTCACCCTCATGTTTCATTCAGTGATTTATATCAGGATAGACTTATGGGCATATATTTTATTCTATCAGTTATAAATGTGTTATTTTGTTGTAGAAATTATCCCAACAGATTTGGCCTCTGGGGGGCCCTTTGAGTTAGCTCTTGTGCCCTTCCCCATTTTTTAACATACTATTTATTGTGTGAGTACTGGTTAATCTTGGCAATGCACTTCTGCATTTACAAGGTTAATGGATGGAAATTATGCCCCGTGTGCACCACTGTGTTTTTCACTGAACAACCTGAGCCCTGACATCCTCTTCAGAAAATGGGGACACGAATACCCACCTAGAGGAACAGAATGGGGATGAAATGACACAGTGGCCGTGCAGAACCCATAATGGGCAATAAATAATACATGTCTCTTCCTCATAGGACATGAAATGCACACTTTTGCCATCTTTTTTGGTAGGTAGACAGATAAATCTATTAGTGATCTCTGACAATACCTGAAATTGAGGCCAACACTAAAGTCACTTTTAAAGAATTTCAACAATTGTCTGGAGTCCACAAATCTAAACAATAGCGTTCTAGTAATTTATATTTACTTATTGCTGTATCTTGTGTCTTTTTGATACACCCTGTGGTAGAGAGAATTCTAAAGTGGGCCCAAAGATTCCCAGACAGTGTATCATCCAGTCATTTGATCAAACACTAATTTAGGTACTACTGTGAGGAATTTTGCAAATGTAAGTAAAGTCCCAAACCAGTTCATCATAAGATGAAATGATCCAGGTGAGTGGGACTTAATCACGCGAGCCTTTTAAAAATATGGGTGAAGGGGTCAGAGACAGAAGTCAAGCACAAAATGTGGGAGGGATTGAATATAAGAACAATTCTCCTGGCTTTGAAGATGCAGGGAGCCATCTGACAAGAACCTAAGAGTAGCCTCTAGGGGATGAGAGTGAGTCCTGGCAGCCAGCCAGCAGGGAAACCGTGACCTCAGTCCTACAACCTCAAAGATCTGAATTGAGCCAACAACTTGAATGAAGATGGAAGTGGGTGCCTTCCCGGAGTTTTCAGAGAGGAACAAAGCCTGGCTGACACCTTGATTTCAGCTTTGTGGCACTCTTGAACAGAGATCCCTTCCCTGCCAAGTGGGACTTCTGACCTACAGAACTGTGAACTAATTGATAGGTTTTTGTTGTTGTTTTTTTTAAATGCTAAATTTGTGGTAATTTGTTATGCAGCAATAGAAAACTAATAGAGACTCATTTTTAGCATTTCCATCCCTTCTCATGCAGATGTTCCGTCACAAACATTTCTCTTGTGATATCTTCACTCTAGTCTGGGAATCATTTCTCCAAATGGTCCTGGTTCTGTTATTAGAGAATGGTACTTAGAAATGAAGACGTGGGTGCAACATTGCTCACCGGTGCGGAGTATCACTGCTTCTCAATCCTCTCAGCTGACAAAACTACAAAATATATGTGTATACAACTATATGCATTTCTCCATCTGTCAGTATACTTGTGTCTATATCTGTATATATACTTAAAAAAAAAAAAGAGTTCGTGCTGACACTTCCAATCCCAATCCAACACCACAGTGTCCATTATAACTTCCCCTCTTATTATTATTATTATTTTTTTTTGAGTTTATTTATTTTGAGGGACACTTAGGTGGCTCAGTCAGTTAAGCGTCCGACTTCGGCTCAGGTCATGATCTCGTGGTTTGTGGGTTCGAGCCCTGCATCGGGCTCTGCTAACAGCTCAGGGTCTGGAGCCTGCTTTGGATGCTCTGTCTCCCCCTCTCTCTGCACTTCCCCCACTCGCACTCTGTCTCTCTCTCTCTCTCAAAAGTAAATCAACATTAAAAATTTTTCTTAAAATTTATTTATTTTGAGAGAAGAGAGTGTGGGCACACATATGCGTGAAAGGGGGAGGGGGAGGGGAAGAGAGAGAGGGAGAGAGAATCCAATGGGCTCGAGACCTGAGTGGAAACCAAGAGTCAGACACCTGAGTAAGCCACCCAGACATCCCTTATTTTTAACTCCTTTGAAAAGTAGACCTCATATCCCCTGTTTATTTGTTTGCTCAATCCTCAAATACACTACTGCACCAACATGCCTGCTAATGTATATACTTCTTTTTGTGTTTAGCCATTGGCTATTCAATTAATATATTGTTCCCTAAAGTTACTTAGGTTGGTTATTTACTTGTAATACAGTTGGATTCATTTGTTTCTGTTTATATATCAGTTTTGACTCCCCATCTAATGTTTTAAAGTTTGTAAAACATTGACATGGTTCTTCAAGTCAGAACTACACAAAAATGTATAATCAGAGAAGTGTCATTCACCCTAACTCTTCTCCTCCATTCATTCCCCTGTTTTCCCTACTTTGTTCCCTTTACCTCTGTAAATAAACAATTTCATTAGTTTCTGGCTTGTGTGTGTGTGTGTGTGTGTGTGTGTGTTTTCTTGTTTTTGTTTTTGTTTTC